AGAAAGAAAGAAAGAAAGAAAGAAAGAAAGAAAGAAAGAAAGAGAAAAGAAAAAGAGAGGGGGAGGGAGGGAGGGAGGGGAAAGAAAGAAAAGAAAAAAGGTTGGAAGCAAGGGGAGAGAAAGAACACAAAGAAAAGAGGGAGAGAGGAAGGAAGGAGGAAGATAGATCAGTTTAGGATTCACATTGGCAATTTGGACACGTGCCTAATCCACCCTGACAGAGGGCAGAAACCCACTCCTACATTTCTTTCTGCCGTGGCTACCCCAATAAGCCAAGAGGAGCTGCCCCCTTGCCCCGGAGAGATGTAGGCGACACTCTGGATACCCAAATCACCAGTGACAATCCCCCAAAACGTCCCCCAGGTCCAACTGCACTTACCCTAGAATACCAACAGTTGAGGTGGCATTTGAGAGAAAAACAAAAGTGGACTGGGGAAGAAAGGACATTTATTGGAGAGGGAAAGAGAACAATATGGGTACCCCAACACACTGAATGGACAGTGCTGCCTTCCCCAATGCAACGCCCTCCAGATATGCTGGGATGGAAGTCCTGATTGGGGAATTTGAAAGGGCCAGCAGAGAGGAGGCTGACTTAGGTCCCACATGTGCGAGGGAAGGAGAGAATGTTCTTCCAAGGCAGTGTTTCTGAAACTTGGGAACTTTTAAGATGGGTGGACTTCAACCCCCAGAATTCCCCAGCCAGCATGTTGAAGTCCACCCATCTTAAAAGTTGCCGAGTTTCAGAAACACCGTTCAAGGCAAGTTTCCAGAAAGTGTTTTCATCACTTCTTCACCACAATGACCAGCTTCATGTATCACCCCAGTCCCCAACCTGGTTTGTCTGCATTTCACTTTAATGTGTGGTGCCCACTGGCTAACTGTAGCCATTCACCATGGTTTAGCACCAGAAGGTGAACCCAGGATTGCAGAGTTGGAAAGGTCTGGTTTTTCTCATTTCTGAGTCAGGGAAAACCTTTGCTTTCTGACATTTTTGCCTTCATTCAGCTAATGAAGTCTCAGGAGCGGGAGAGAATTAATTAATCAATTCATTAATGTATATGCCAATCACAGAATGCCAACTAATCTGTGCCAATCACACTGGCCAGGAACCGGAAAAGGCTTCTTGAAGGGGTGGGCTCCACAGGAATAAATGGCTGGCCAAAGGTGATGGGCTTGGGAGTGGAAGCCGAAGCCTCAGCCTGGGGAAGGCCAGCTTAGAGACAGCTGGGGTGACCAAGGAGCTGAGAGCCATCTCAGTCCCCTGAGCAGCTATCTTTCTACAGCAGGGGAGTTTTCCCTGAACACCTGGACAGCTCTTTGCAGGGTTCTTCCGTCGGAGGAGAGAAGGAAGGAAGGAGGGGAGAACTAAATACCTGCAAGCGGCTGCGTCTTCAGGAACTCGACGGTCTTCTGCAGAATCTCGGCTTTCTCCACTTTGGGGTTTTTCAGCCTCTGCGGAGAAAGAGAGAGAGCCCGAGACGAGAGAAGGGTGGGGGAGAAAGAGAAGCGGGAAGGAAGGAAGGCGGCATGAGACGAAACTCTGCAGCTGTGCCGATGCCCTCTCGGGGCGGGGGGGGC